GGCCTTCGTGGTAGTTGAAGTATAAAAAAAACAATTTTATGAAAATGGGGAATAATGGGGGAATCGTAGAAGCATTTGATTGAGCCGCAACGGAATTTTCGCGAAGCTTTAAGCATTTCAGAGTACCTCTCCAAAAAAGCTCGCATGAGCAAGTCGATGGTGGAAACCACGATCACTACCTTATTTGATAGCGTGGAATCGTCCACAAAGAATTTGTTCCATCGGGGCAAACCGTAAATCAAGTCTGTTATCGCCACGTACTCGAAAGTTTGCGAAAATGAGTCCAAATGGTGCTCCCGGATATCGCAACTGGATCCTTCCTCACGACTACGCACCGTGCCACACCGCCTTCAGCGTGTCCCAGTATTTGGGCTCTCGGGCCCGTATCGTCAGTCGTCCCTACAATTGTAGGGTGCGTTTATAGCCTCCTTGATTGTCATACTCCTTTCTCTCCTTCAAACATTTCTAGATTGCACCTGTCCCATGTCAGCGTCAGCGCTCTCCTATTGTGAAGATATGTTTTATTTTAAATTGTAGGAAATTTCAGGCTGATAAAACATGATATAACTCAGAAGCAAGCACAATTTGATGCAAATATATGTTTGTGACATAACCTCAAAAAAGTGCGCTGACATGGAGAAGTAGAAAACTATGAGTCAAGGAGGCCATAAAGGCGCCCTACAATTGTAGGGAAGACTGACGATAGGGGCCTAAAGGGATCACCGTGTTGCAACAGCCGCCTTATTCACCTGATATGGAACCCATTTTGAGTAGATTACGGACATCCAAGCGGTCGTGACGAGCGTAGTCGCGGACATCCCAATCGCAGCGTTCCAGAAATGTTACGGAGCGTGGAAAACGCTTTTTTCAAATATACGCTTTTTATGGAATCAGTCTCATTACTTAATTGTCACACCTCGTATAAGCTGAGCACGGTCTCCGTACAGACATTTTGTTGCTACTAGGCATATTAGTTGTGGTTGATCGGCTGGTGGAGGAGGAAACATAATTATGGAGGGTATAATGGAAGCAACGGCGGATCCAGGATTTGTGTCTGGGGGGTCACACTGGTCAAAAAACTTCATGTTCAGGAAGATATTCTTCTCATCTTCGGGGGAGGGGGGTTGTCCGTCACAGTGGCGGATTTAAGTAATGGCAAAATGGACATTGCCGCCTGGGCCCCACAAGGAAGGGTGGTCACAGGGCCCCCCAGCAAAAATCAGCTGTAGTGCCTATACTGTCAGCGCGTCTGAATGTAAAATTGATAACAAGAAATCAGAGTTTTGTTATATTCTTTTAATGACCATCTGCGTAATGTTTATGAAATAGCGCGTTACCATTCAGTTTTGAATAATAAATTTCCCTTCCATTTCTTAAGAAATTTTTTGAAAAATGACTATTTCATTTATAAAAAAATGACCGAATGACCCTTTTATTTCTCAAGGAGTGGAGAGGTTATGTTCGTGCTTACAGTGATATATTATTACCTGGCATATAATGTTCAGTAAATAAATATCTTCGTGGTATGAATCAGCCTCTTGGAGTCTAATAAAGACTCTAATGCGCCTATTACAGTCTTTCACGTCTTCAATGTTTATAACCATAAAATTTCACAATACTGTGCATTTTTTTATTTGATGACATCTATTTTCTCCGTGATAATATCGTGTAAGCAATTTTTTGAATGTATTATCAATTGCATAGAAGATGAAATTTCAAGAGTGGGAGCTTCTGTCGAAAATATAATGAATGCAAGATCTCTCCTTTCCTCCATGAACCGAACCTTTTTTGCAATTTGTTATGGTGGCATTCAGTATTGAGCGTAATGAATACCGTGCAAGTTCAAATGCAAAAAAGAGATAGACTTGATGATGGCTCAAAGGTGCATTTCAGCAGCATTAATGAAATTCAAAGATTTGAGGAGTGAAAGCATATACGATAATTTTGTTCTGAAGGCTAAGAATCGATGGGAAGAGATGGAATGGGAAAATCCTGGTTTTACGATTGTCAGAAAGAGGAAAATAAAAAATAATGTTCGACGACAAAGCTGCTGAAAACACACGAAAATCGAATAAATTACTACGAAGTTTTGGATTCAATGAGTAACGAATTGCAAGAACGTACTGAAGGATTTCGTGAAGTGAATGATGTGTTTGGTTTTTTGATGCCACAGAAATTAGTCAATCTAAAAGAAAACGAATTAGAAACCATCATCTCTAATTTGATGGAAACATATTAGGAATTTTTCACTACAGTTCTAAAATATGAATTAGCCAGTTTTACGAGCATGTATTTTTCGGGAAATCGTAATGTTACTAACGACAGCGCGCTATATTATTTGAAGTTCATGATTGCAAACAATTTTGTAGACAGTTTACCAGAGAGCTGCAGTTTATTCAGATTGTTTTTGACTTTGCCTATCGGTTCAGCTAGTGCTGAACGTGTCATGAGCTCTTTGAAAGTTATTAAAGAATACTGTCGAGCTTCTTTGGCTAAAGACTCGCTCAACAACTTCTCTAACCTCTATATCGAAAGATCAGTAGCTAATACACTCAATTTGGATTCTGCGATGGAAGTTTTTACTGAACGAAAAGCAAGACGCGGATTCAAATTAGAATAATTCTGTTATTTTGCATTGAATAAAAAATGTTTGACCTCACAGTCTCTACTTGATTCAGGTTATATAGACATATAGTAAACAGAGGCAACAGTGCGTAGCAGCTACTATTGTGCATATAATTGTAAGCCCCGTTTAATATGTGACATCCTTATTGCCAGCAAAATCTGTAGTTCGAACTTTCTCTGAACAGTTTAGATGGATTTTACGTTATCGAAAATCTTAGATCCGCGTGAATATTGAAACAGTTGAATTAGCTGTTTTATTGGCACGTTGTTAATTATTATTAAAAAACTTTTTGCAACATCCACGAGTTTGTTTTGGTTACTTGTGCAGGTCTTTCTAATTTTTTTATTCTCAGTTGCCGTCATTAATTGGCAAATAGCCATAAATGGGGAGAATATCACTTTCGCAAATAGTGCCCGTATATATCATGTAGTAATGCACGTTATTTAACGTATTTTAGTGTTGTTCACCAAGTTTGTATTCAATGAAATATTAATCACGGCAAACATGACAACAACTATCGATCATATCAAAGTTGACAGATGCAGTGCTGCCAGTGTTTAGTAGAAAATACCAGTACGGCATCCATTTAAAATGTGTGCATTACAGATTTATCTAAGAGATTTGGAACTTTAACAATTATTGGTGGTCGAACTAAATTCGCCTGGGGGGGGGGGGTCATGACCCCCCCCTGGATCCGCTCCTGTTGCAGATAAACGACTAAATACTAGAAGCGCAACAAATCCTGTCCAGACCAATGCACCGATCAAGGAGCGAACGCAATCGAACTCCAACGGCGACCTTGGCCACATGGCTTGCATTGGAATCTCGGTCTGTACGCGGCTTTAGAATGATATCCACACGCAAGGATATTTCACAATTTATAATTGATGTGAATAAGTATTATTATTATTATCAGAATGGTAGAGGTCTAGTCATTTGGAGATAGATGACAGAGAGCAAACGCATGAATAACGACCTCCTGAAAAACTGGGTATTGTAGTGTGCAATATTTAGTTAATGCAACTTTTGCACCGTACGTCAATGTTGGCATCATGATGAGTACTTTAGTACTACTCCCCTGTGTGACAATGGGACGCCTATACGGAGAACGATCTTGTTCGGCTTCTTAGATGCGAACTGTCTTTTAGAGATGCTGGAAAATTGAGTGTATTTATCAGAAGCCATATTCCTCGCCATTAACGTTAAGTATTTTGAAAATTGTCCATTATCAAAATTGGTAACCATGGGGACATTTAATCGGGTCATAATAAACATACTGCAAATTTGGCCCAATATATAACTGACTGATTTAAATTGCGTGCATTTCAGTATGTGACGCCGTAGTAGTTGCTTAAAGTGCATGTGTCCATTCATTATGGAGCGCTACACGATCCCACAACGCGTCCGTATTATTAAAACGTTGGTGCGGAAATTTGAACAAACAGGTGAAGTTTAAGACTTGCCAAAGTGTTTGAACTGTTCGTACTTCGGAAAATATCGAGAGAGTTCGTGAAAGTGTAGTGGAGCACCCTGAGTCGTCTACCAGACATCGTTTTCAAGAACAGGGTATTCGTCGCACGTCAATATGCACTATTTTAAAAAAGACTTGTATTTGCGGATATAAAAAATTCGGTTAACCCAAGAACTACAGCCTAGTGATCATGAAAGTTGGCGACAAAACAGTCATGCAATATTGCAGCTTAATAAATAAAATAACGATTTTTACCGACAACTGATAATGAGCGATGAAGCCCACTTCGATATGATTTGTTAATAAGCAGAATTGTCATATCTGGGCATTAGAGAACCCTCGTGTCATCCATCAACTACCACTACATCCTCGCCGAGTCACAGTTTGGTGGGGTGTTTGGTATGGAGGAAACCTACCAAAAAATGATGGAAAATGTAATCAAGAGGGCTCAGCTTTGTGCGGCTTCTACAGGCGGACATTTGTCTGATACTGTTTTTCGTACATAATTTATAAGTTTCAATAAAAGATTAGGATGAAAAAAATGGACGTATTTATTTCATTTCACAAATATTCAAGATACAGAGCAGTCAGTTACATATCGGCCACCCTGTACTATACCTTTGTTTCCGTATGTGTTTTGTGCGGTATTATTTCTTCAAGCTTCGGCATCTGGTTGCATTTTTTGTCATCAGGTTCCTCCCTCTTTTAAATGGTTGAAAACGGTCAAACACCAAAAACCTCCTCGGAGGCGTATCTCAAGTCGTCATGTTCTGCTGAACGTGCTCGATTGCATTACTGTTCATTCTTACACGTCGATGAAAGAATAAAACACGTAGGATGTGGTCAACATAAATGTTTATTTAAATACAAATAATAAAAACGCAGTTTTCATATCTTTGTTTCGTAGAATGTATTTTCTCAATTAGATCTTAGTTAAAGCAAGACATGGATTAGTTCCCATTTTCTATGGATGTGAGGAGTTCCACTAGTCCCCAGACGCTTCTTGATTGATGGTGATTGCTGCAAATTACTGGCCAAATCTTGGCATAGGGATCAAACAACACTACTATATTGTCTCCCTCAAATGAGAACAGTTCGAAAACTTTTGAGCCCTGTATACAGTGATGTATCAAGGATAACTTACTTTTGAAGAATAGAAAAATGGTTCAAAAAATGGCAGTATCCTGCATCGTAACTTACATTTAACTCGAAGTCCCCATTTCAACAATCTATGTTCTATTTAGAAGCGCAAAATTAAGAATAGCACCGTCTTTGGCACCATACTCTGTTTTCCTGGTAAACGTTTTCACTCACTTTAGTCAAAATTTATCATAAAATAAAGGCGTATGAAAAAATTTTAAAATTATGTAATTTATTAATCACATTATCGAATATCGCAAAAAGGCTATTTGTTGTGAGATCTAAGATACAACTCAGTGGTGCAAGCTTTCAAATTCCTTCTGCATTTTAAATCTTTCTTCTTGACGGTTACAAAAGATTGGGTTCTGTAAACCGTTTATGAATAAATTAGGCAACTGTTTAAGATTGTGTTAATCGTAAACAAGAATGACAAGACTCCATTTACATTAAACGTGAGGTACTGCATGATAAAGTTTCCAAAAACTTGCAGATATTGAAAATGTTTTAATTAGACTTTCGAGTGATACAAACCCGATAAAAGTCATAACGTCATTTATCCTGTATACAGAACCAAGTTTCACTCGAATTATCCTCATATGAACGATGTCTATAGCAACCTAATAAAAAAATCCTTCTTCAGCAAGTGTTACCTTAGTTTACTGTTACCTGTTAACCTTCTGGAGCTTACCGTTAAGGACGTGAAGATAGACGCTGGCAGAGTCCAGGTTTGATGGGCTACAGGTGTAGTTGCCAGCGTCCTCTGTTTTGTACGGAAGATAGTGATTGTGCTCACTGTCGTATCTGTGCTGGAGGTATAGAATATGAAATTAATGTTGGTGAAATTTATAGGCCCAGTGGTCCCATAACCATTTATCTTCTTAATAAACCCATGGTTGAAATTCATATCAAGGTTATTGACAAAGAAAGACTAGGCTTGCCTACCTACAGCCTGTCACGAATAGGTTTGTTATCAGGAAAAAACATTTTTTGACGGTTAGGTCCAGTATCAAAATGGAAGACATTGGGGTAGTATGTCAAATCTGCACTGCCTCAGTTTGCGCCAGGAATACTTCAGTTTACCAATGTGTCCAGCATATTTGTACAGCAATGTTGCAGGTACCAAAGTAGGTTGCGCAACATGCGGTAGATGTTCTTGCCTTCCTCCGCCCAGCTCAGCCCGGTCGGTCAGGAAGTAAGTCAATTCTTGGACTAGGGGTATGCATTCACAAACTTGTCAACAGATGTCAGAGTTTGGTTCATTCCCAGGGAAGATAACCACGCCCACTTTCTCTCAGTGATCATACTCTCTCGATTTCGAAAATAGAGATCCTGCTGTGTTTCCATTTAAACAAGCATAGGTCTTTGTATGGGCCCTCCGTAGGACTGTCATTGTTTAAAGTAACTCAGACCAGTCTGTCAGTCACAACCAATTCAGACTAGGTAGAAGGAGCTGGTAAAGGATTTGTTTGTCTTCTAATTCCCATAGTATGTAGTGAGGATCACAGTGCACTTGACATTTGACATGTCATTTTTTTACAGTTTTGTCATTAAATTGGTATATTTTTTAAAGGTGCGAGTGTTTGCAGATAATTGTGGTGTTAGACGATTTCAAGAGATGGTACTTCTTACATAATTTGCAAACAGCGGCTAAGCCTAATGAAGGTAGATGTTTCCAACGGTATTTATTGATACAACGCTGTCACTTTGGTAGGGATTGGTAGACAAATGAGTCAAAAGTATGCACCAAAGCTACGCAGTTTTTGTCGACAATGTAATGTAAACATATAGGCTAGGCTCCTTATCATCTATTCGAATTGGTTGGTCAGTCCTGATTGCCCAAGTAACAGATAGTGTCAAAGAAACGAAAGACAAAGAGAAGATAGAAAAAGCAAAGAAAAGAAGTGTATCAGATTAAAATGAAACATCGCATACCGCGACATAGAATTACCACGTATTTTTATACTCAAAATGAGTCGTTCAGACATGAAGTTTTCTTTCAAATTTGGACCACAACATGTTTTGCTAGTTGTTCTAATAGTTGATTTTTACGAAAAAATCTGAAGGGTTCGAGAAGGATGGAAACTACCCCCATCCCAACATAAATTATAGCAGACTTTTTGGCAACTTTTCCGATAATTCTGATTGTTTTATTTAGTAGATCATTTTATTTACTCCATTGTTTGTCTCCTATAAAAACATGTCAACTAGGATAGTTTTCGAGAAAAAAAAATGTTGCATCATGTTCCCAAGTGTTAATTCTTTAAATGTAGTTAGCAAAAAATAAACAGTATGATATTACAATTTTATTTAATACAATGCGAATTTTTCATAAAAGGTGTTTAATAAGACCACCATTTTCGTTCCTGCACATCACGGTACGGTGCAAAAAAGATAGTTAATTTTCTCTTAGATGTCATTATTCTTTAATGTTCGCAGCATTTTGAATCCTGTCCCATAGTTGATTGGCGTTGTCTATATGAACCTCATATACATTGATACATGTAAAATATCATGAGGATTAAGATCCGGATAACGAGGTGGTCATCAAATAGATGCTAGGTGAAGAAAATTGCAAAAACATGTCTATTACATTCATAAGCAGTTCTTCTTATAATTTAGGTAACACGTATTGTAGAAAATGAAGATAGCAATCTCCATTTAATTTATCAGGCAACCTATTTGGACTAACTAAAAAGTTACCAATAATCCTCATCCAAATGTTAATTTTAAATTCCTATTGTAAATATGTTTCTGAAACTTTTCTTCCGCGTAAACATGTGTGTTATGCAAATTTATCACACCACGTCGGGTAAAACATAACTCATCTGTAACCAAAATTTTCTTGTGAAATGACCTATCGTCTGTACATTTTGTACAAATCCCAAACGTGAGTGGTGATCAGTAGGCAATTCCTGCCCCAATATTTATTCAATATCTAATATTCGAGCAGAAAATAGGATAGGTAACCCGAGCGATACGTATTTCTGCTGGTTGGCTTCATCAGGCCCGAAATGAATGTACATATGCAACTACAAAAGTAGATACACATGTCCCCACATCCGGATATGGGTATAACCTGAGGAAACGAAGATGGAGAGGGAAAAAAATCGACACACGAAGTCCACAACAAGAGCCAACCTACACATTATAGTATAAAATGACTAGAAGACCTCGAATTTTCAAAGAAGATATCTAACCACAACCACGCTGCCGGTTATAGCCACTTGCTGTGGTACTTCAAGCCCAAATGATCTACAAGGAGAAAATGATCATGCGGAAAAAGGTATATAACAAAAAGTAGGAAAATAATGGGTACAATCCCTCTTCATCTTCGTTTCCTCAGGTTATAGCCGTATCCGGATGTGTGGACATGTGTATCTACTTTTGTAGTTGCATATGTACATTCATTTCGGGCCTGATGAAGCCAACCAGCAGAAATAGGTATCGCTCGGGTTACCTATCCTATTTTTTGCTCGAATCCACTTTCATCCTTTTTGCGGATTGTGCCCATTATTTTCCTACTTTTTGTTATATACCTTTATCCGCATGATCATTTTCTCTTTATATATAATGTATATATATATTTACACTACAAATATCTATAATGAATATTTTATGAATATATAAGAAATATATTTATTGAAATCTGTCGCGACAAATATTTAACACAAATTTTTTATGAAATATTTAATGCTATCGCGTGGAAAGGCTTAACGTGAAATGAACGAAATAATTTCACTCTGATATAACCCACAATTCCGCCAACTAGATGCATACTAGATTTTAACCCTTGATGTTAAAAAATCAGTGACGTTTTGAGACTTGCGGGTTGTAGGGGTGGGAGTAGTTTTCACCCTTCCCGAACCCTCCCGGTTTTTGTTTCTAAAAGTCAAATAATACTACGTCTGGCAAATCATAAGTGTTACAAATTTAATTCAAATTGGACTATCGGTTCTTAAAATATATGTGTTTAAAAAAAAGTGTCGCCCTCTAACGGACAAACGAAGCACTTTTGCGTAGCGGTAAATCATGTCCAATCGACTTATTTTGAGTCTAAAAATACGTAGCACTTCTTTCTCCACGGAATATTGGCACATCCGGGAAAGGATATATAAAATCCCACAGACACTGAAGTCCTGAACACGTTGCATTTGGCTTAGGTTAATCTTTCCATTTTGGTACTTGACTGTAATCTTACTA